ACCTCTGCTCCCAGCACAAATTGGATAATCCTGTGGTCCGATAGTGAAGGTTCCGACAAGACCCCCCATTAGGTGACCAGAGGAATATCCAAGCTGTTGCTAAGCGGTATGTCCAGTACCTCTTTCCTAGCCCTCGTGACAAATGTCGGTGTTTGGCCAACATTGTGGATGCTAAGTTCCTCGCTTAAAATGTACTCTAAGAGACACTCACCTCTGCGATTTGTGTCCGTGCTGCCCCATTCAACATTGTGGGCGTTCGCATCGCACCCCACTATAAGGTGGAGCCGTCTCCTCCTGCAGTACTCCACTAACCTCTGTACCTCTTGTGGTGGGGCATAGCTGCTGTCTCCCGGAAAGTAGGCGGCAGCGAACACCACCTCTACGTTCCTATCATGCAGCAAATGGTCAGCGCCGTCTGCACTGCGACTAGGTCCTGTGTTAAAAATTCTGTAATGCAAAAATAATCAATATTTTCCTTAAGCACTACACACGCTCTGGGCCTCTCACAGGAGAGGTCCCAAATTACCTTGTTTCTTTTATGGTTGAGGCCCTTCACCTGGCCTCTGTAGGTCCACGGCTCTTGGATCAATAGGATGCCCAGGCGAGCCGTGGAGAACCTGCTGGTGATGACCGCCGAAGCAGCCACCGCGTGATGCAGGTTAACCGGGGTACTGCCAAGTGTCGGGGATTCATAGATGGAGCTCGTCAAGGTCGGAGAGCTGTAGTTCGCTCTCTTTCCGCCAGCACCTGCGTTGAGGGCACGTGGTACGCTGAGGTAGTGGTAGCGGTAGGCCCGAGGGTGTTCGCAGGAGCTGGTGTTTCTGCGAGGAGTGCTTCTCCGCCGGTAAGCCCGAGGTCGACTCGGAAGTCTGGGCACCAGAGGAACCGGCGACCGCGTCGATTTGAATCTCCTGTGACTCCGACTCCTTGCTGCCTGTCGCCTTTTGTCGGCACGGCCTCACCGTGACGAAGCTGAACCTATAGTTCAGGTTGAAGCCAGCCCTCTTTATGCTGACGTAAGACTCCTAATCAATGCCTAGGAATAGCCTGAGCCCGTTATCTTCAGTGGTGCTGGACACTACTTTCCACGCAGAAGTGTGAATACCCTCGTTCTGCGCTTTTAATAGCCCCAGCGCAAACTCGGCAGATTTCTCGGCGCTCCTTGGGAGGAATACTGTGATGTTGTGCACTGGAGGGATATCGTCCCCTCTCTTCGTGCACATCCCGGGTCCCTTCCAGCCCTCAAGTGCTGATGCCTTCTCCGCCAGCCAGGTTGCTGTTTTCTCGTCCCTGCAATCTACGAGAAGCATACCGGACCTGAAGTACACCCCACAGAATGTCAGCGGGTGCGACCAACCTTTAAAGACCTCGTCCATGATGGCGTCTTGGAGCCTGGTTAGGTCCTATGGGCTCAAAGCAGCAGCAGGGTACTCACACGGTTGCACCGCTACCCGGATACCTTTGAGAGTCTCCGAGTAGCTGGGCTGCTAAGTGGCGCCCCCCTGCACCTGTCCTTGCCCGGCCGGCCCTGCCAGGCTCTTAGGCCATGAATTCGGAGTAGGTGGCTGATCCCGCTGCCGTTGGTGCTTGGTGTCTCAGGCGGAGTAATTTGATTGCTCCCTCTCTTGACTGCGTCCCCTTTGTTATGGCCTGGGAGTTCCCCGCTCCGCCATTCGGCGGGTGCGGGTCTGTGCTGCTGTTGTTTCTGTGGCCCACTTCTCTGCTTTGCAGCAGGCGCGGGTAGGTGTGCCTGTTTATTGGGCCCGCTCTTCCACCTATCGGCAGGTGCGGGTTTGTTGCCTTTACTGCTACGCTCTTTCTCGACCTCCATTCTGACGCAGGCCATGGCTCTGGCCTCAACTGGGGGCTTGCCCTGCTCCAGGTACCAGAGGTACCACTTGACCCCGGAGCCGCTCAAACCTTCGCGATGTCGGTCGTCTAGAGCCCCTGGCTGGCCTAGCAAAGGCATCGGCGGAGGTTTGGCCCTGTGGGTTTTCTTCCTCCTCTGCGGAGGCGTTGCTGCTGGGGGACCTGTGTCTACCCTTCCCCTTCCGGTAACCGCTGTCAGAGCGGCGCCGACACTTTGAGCGCTCCCGGCTTTTTGAGTGGTGACGACTCTTGGAGCGGCGCCGACTGGCTGAGCGATGCAGGCTATTGGAGCGGCGACTACCCTCGGTACGGTGGCTGCTTTCTGATCTCGCTGTTTCTGTGTACCTGAAAAGAGAACTGCCGGACCGCTGTTGCGGCCGATCTAGTTCGGCAGATGAATGTACAGATATACATATATGTATAAGAAAAATTGTTTTATTTTATTATGAATTCTATTTTTGTGTACTGTTTTTTCTTTTTTTTTTGCTTTATAAAAAATTGTGATGTTTACACCGTCAATTTTTGTTATAACGTATGGCCCTTGGTATATGTTTTCATGCTTATTGCGTGGTTCTTTTTGAGCAAGAACCTTGTTGTTACACCCGATTTACATTATTCAAGTACTTGAAAGCAATTCTTGCTCATTCTCTTTTGTGTTTTCTATTTGCGTTTACACGCTTCAATTCTGTTGAATTCAAGTTTTTGGTTCTTCGCTTCTATTTTGACATTTGTCATTTGTGAAACTGGTGAACTGGCGAAAAGCAGAAACACGTGTTGTACATCTAGATTTGCAAATTGTTAATTAATTTAACTGAAAAATGGAACCGGAAAAATATTTAATCCTAAAAGAAGCATTGGAAGCTACGCGTCATGCTATTATAGAAGAGGCCGATGAAGAAGTTATTATAGGTAAGTAATGTACATATATCATTTGTTATTTTTAATAAAACAGAATTGGTTGATCTGGTTGGTTGAGGTTCATTTTCATTCTTAACGGAGGAGCTTCTACTTTCAGATCCTGCAGGATATAATAATTATTTGCGGTTAAATAAAAGTCAATTTGAATTATTACTACGCCTTATTCAGCCGGAAATAGAACGCTCGAGCACGTTAATGAGGGGAACAACTTCTGCAGAGGAAAAGTTAGCGCTAACTTTGCGATTCCTTGCTACAGGTTGGTCTTTGAGGGTACGGCTTAGTTGTTTGCCCAATGAATACGGGCTATTGTGTCGGAATGGGTGACCAGATCCAAAAGAGTTTTACACACACTTTTAGTCAAGGGGGTACACTTAATTGTATAACTACAACAAATTTATTAATAAATTCGGTTTGAAAAATGCACTTTTTTGTGAATTTCGAAGTGAGTTCTACGCAAACATATTAATAATTATGGCCAAAACCATAGTTGTACACAGTTTTTATTTAATAACTTTAAATAATTTGTAATTAAACATTTTTTCTTTGTTTATATTAAGATTTTACTTTACGTAAAAATTCGTTTAAAAATATAAAGCGATATGATTTCCGCATATTTTGGGTTTATAAAATAAAATCTTAATATAAACAAAGAAAAAAAATTGTAATTGCAAATTATTTAAAGTTATTAAACAAAAAACTGTGTACAGCTATTATTTTGTCCATAAGTGTATATGCACAAGAAATGTTGAATACCTTTAACAATAGAACAGGGGTTCCACAGGGTGATGAGTTCTTGAATTATTTTTATTATAAAAATATGTGTTAGTCCTATCTAAAGTTATATTTCTTACAGGAGAATCGTTTATAAGTTTAAACTATCAATCCCGTCTATCAGCGTCGTTCATCTACCGGACTATACCAGAGGTGTGTGAAGCAATTTATGGGAAGTTGAAATAATCGTTTTTGCAGGTACATATGCGTTGGCGTCGTCGACATCGTCGTCGTTTTTCAGTCGACATCACGTCGACGCCGAATCGGTACTGGCTAAACGTGTTGAGACGACGTCGACAATTTATCGATTTTTGCATCAGCTATTTCATGTTGTTTACAATTTTTATTTAAAACGTTACGTTCTTTAGATCTGTGTGATTATTATAATATTGAATATTTTTCGCCAAAAATGTTCTTTGTTTCCGATTCAAGCTCAAGCGATGAAGAATGCAAAAAAGAGCTCACTCTAAAAATGAAAATTATTAGGCAGAACTGTGATATATTCAGTTTGCCAGATAACAGGTAAGTGTTACAATTTATACTCGTGGAAACGTGTTTGAGCGTTTTGGACCTTTTCATACATATCAGTGTTGCTAAAAATTTAATTTTATTTCAGATTTCAGGACTTTTTTCGACTGAACAAAACTGCATTTAACTATGTACTACAGAAAATTAAGCCGCAAATAAAAAATGGAATTCGGACAACAGCCGTATCACAGACTATAAAATTGGCAGCGACTTTGCGGTTTTTGGGTCAGGGCTCATATCAAACAAGTGTTGGAAACGACTTCCACCATGGGGCTTTCCCAGCCAACAGTTAGTTCAGTCCTGTCTGAAACACTCGACGTTTTAGAAGCAGTCATATGTCCTCTATGGATCAAATTTCATATGACAGACGCTGAAAAAACAGAAGCCAAGGAGTATTTTTTCCAAAAAATTTTGGCTCCCAACAAACAAGACCAGCATCTATACTACAATCGAAAAGAATGTTTTAGTTTGAATGCTATGATTGTAAGAACATGCCAACGTTTGCTTTGTATTTTAAACCATAAAAAATTCTTCCACAGATTTGCGATCATAAAATGCAAATACGTTATTTTGATGCTCGTTATGCGGGTTCTGGGCATGACTCTCTAATTTGGAATATTAGCCAAGCGAGAACAATTCTGAAGAAGCGATACGATGCTGGGGAGCGTAGATGCTGGCTCTTAGGTAAGAATTAACCCTGCAAATTTAAACTTATGAAATATATAAAAATGTTTGTGTAGGTGATGCGGGTTATCCTCTTGAACCATACATTATGACGCCATATCGATCCGCAGCAAAAGGAAGTCCAGAAGCTATTTACAACAACAAACATGCCAAAGCTAGAAACATAGTTGAACGCACTATTGTAGTGTTAAAAACCGATTTCCCTGTTTGCTCGGTGCACGTCAACTTCGCTATACGCCATCTAAAGCCACGCAAATCGCTAATGTATGTGCAGCACTCAACAACATTTGCATCGAGTTTGGTTCACACATCACAAACGAGGATGCAGAACTAAACGAAGACAATGTTGACAATACTGATGATGGGGAAAATAGCATAAATATTGAAGCTTCGCAAATTAGAGAACAAATAAAAAACAGTTTTGTGTAATTTCAGTTCATTCTTTTTTTATAAAATAAATGGAGTTCAGTCTTTTAATATCAAATAAATAGTAATTCTAATATTTAACGTACTAATCAAAAACAATTCACAGGTACTTAAAAATAAAAAATAATACATATCTACATGAAAATCAGTCACCTTTTTTTAAATTCCAAAGCTCTTCTTTGGCAATTTCTAATTTTATTTCTTTTAATTGCATTGCAGCTTTGTGCAATTCTACCTCTCTGCGATCCCTTTTTTCCAAAAGCTTTAGCTTCTTTTCTTCTATTGCGATAGAAGATAACCGCCCGTATCTCGTAAGGAATGCTTCATTGATCCCATTTTATTTGTAGCGTCAGTTAAAATTCTTTCCTGCATTCTATTGTGCCATTCGAAAAGGTCGTTCCTCTCCCTCGTTTTTGGTTTTCGTGTTCTGGCTGGAGTGGATGGTTGATCTCTTCTGTGTTGTGTTTCCGCTGGTGATAACTGAACACCTTGCAAAATACCTTCTGGACTTAACTGCTTGTTAAACTGCAGCAAGTTGGCCACAGCCTCTTCCAATGGGCAAAGGGTTAATTGTTTATATATTCCACCACCTGTTGCATTACACTCAGCCTTGTTTTTCATAAGTTTCTTCTTATGTTTAAATTTGTAATCTCGCCACACCTGCAGTTGAAATGTATATTACAAAATATATGCTTTAATGGTGTTATTATAATTACCTTCTGCCAACCATCGCTGTCTCTTAAAGGGGGCTCAAGGGCATTCAATTTACTGCTGATTGCCTCCCATTGCTGTTTAAAATTAGCTGGAGCTGTTCCCTTTTGAAAACCCTTTGCTAGGCAAGGGCTTTTTTCTAACTCAGCTATAAGAGTTTCAAATTGTTCTGCGCTTGTAATTTTCATGTCTAAAATCTAAATAAATGCAGACACATAGATATTTATTAAGTTAATTTAATTACAAACACGAAAAATAAAAAGAGAAGACAGGAGTTAAATGAAATATTTAACAAATGAATTCGACTGATGCTTAACGAGTCGTTCACATAGTACATACATATGTACATATGTTTACACATCATATTTTATAAGTACCTGGTCCTAAGGGCCTTTTTTCTTAAAAAAAAACACTTATACTTACAAATTTTCTTCCAGTCGTCAAGGACGATTACGCTTTTGACAACATATCAAAGAAGACAATTGAAAATACACAACACCAACGTAAACATCTGGTTCAATAAACAATGTTTAACACTAAATGTTACGCCGAAATCCGCAAGAATTAATTTAAAATCGAGCACAGAGCAAAGGCGAAAAATCTTGAAAAGAGCAGAAAACAGCTTCCTTCGACATGAAATAAAGAACCTGTATGCCAAAAAAGAACGCACAAATGAGGAGCTACTTTCCATTCATTTAGAACTAGCGGAACTCCTCCCTGTCAGCACGCTCCTGGAGATATTAGATGAAATAAAGGAGAATATCAGTAAATCTATGGGACAAAAATACAATAAATTAAACAAAAAAACTCAATGAACTCAATAGAAAGCAAAACATCACAAAGAACATACAACACAGCGAAATGCCTTTCCATTCCAGATTCGTAAATTTATTAGCAAACAAGAGACAGAAATATTGGAAAAATGTCTGAAACACAACATAGAAAATTATGATAAAAATAAAGAGGTAGGGCACACTATTGTAGACGCGGAAATGGCCATATCATTACTACCATATGTAGACGTATAATTGAAAAAAGCATAAAATCCATGGAGAAGAAAAAACTAAGCGACGAAAATAAAACTGTCAAAGGGCTAAAGAAAAAACTCAAAACGAATAAAGTAATCACAACAAAAGCAGACAAGGGGAACACAACGGTAATAATATACGAAAAAGAATATAAAGAAAAGACAGAGCAACTAATCAAAGAGACAAATTGTCGGATGATGAGAAAGGACCCAACCGATGACTACCAAGTGGCAGTAAAACACGCAATAAAACAGGCAAAAACAATAATAAATCCAAGGAAAGCATATACAATGACATTAATGAATCCTTCGGCTCCTTCAATGATCGCACTCCCAAAAATACACAAGCCAGGAAATCCGATGAGACCAATTATCAACCACAAATCTGCACCAGGATACAAACTATCGAAATATCTAAAATCGTTGCTGAAAGAAAAACTGGAACTGCCCAATAAATACACAATTGCGAATACAGCGGAGTTAATTGAAATGTTTATGTTTATGAATTTGTACAACGATTTTGGGTTGCTGTGCCCAAAACGCGTGAACATGATTGCCACAATTGGTAACTTTCTACCAAAATTGGTAACTTTTAAACGGTTTGGTAACTTGGTAACTTTTATTTCATTTTGGTATCTTTTGCAACTAAACATCTTTTTGTATTACTAGAAAGAATTGAATTATGTTTTGAATGTGCGTAATTATTGTGGCGAATACTGCGGCAACACAAAGCGAACAACGAGAAATAGGCAGAATGTTCGAAGAATGACGTAGAATGTTCCACAAAGAGAAACGTCAAGTTGGATGAACACTGCGAACAGCGAGAGAAAGAGAATGAGCGATAAACTTCAGAATGTTCTAGAGTTGCCATAAGTGCCAGCGCAGGTATATAAGGGCGCCGCCACCACGAGGTGAGTTAGTTACAAGTCAGCAAGCTACAAGTAAAGTGAGCAGAGAATTGAGTTGCGAATAAGCAAGCTATAAGTTTAATTGTGTTAACAAGTAGTAAAGCGTTGTTATTGCTTTAACAAGTATTGTAAAGTGTTTTTACTGTATTAGCAAGTATTGTAAATTGTTTGTTGTACAATAAAGTTAATTGTACTACAATTCGGTCATCGTTAGCATTTATTTAACAATCCAGCGATACGAGCCCGAGTATATTTGGGTAATCCCTCAAGGTTTCGAGGATAATCGTAACAATTGGTGTCAGAAGTGGGATTGTTAAATAAATCCCGAAGGATAAACTACTGAAAATGGCGAAAATTCAGGACTTAAAGATTGAGGAGCTGAAACAGGAGTTGGAAAAGCGTAATTTGGCCACCTCCGGAAGAAAAGTGGAATTGTTATCCCGGTTGCGAGAGGCTATGGAAGCTGAAGGCATCGACGTGGACAAATACGACTTCCAAGGTAAACCCGACGATACATCCGCAAAGGACGAACAGAAGGATGAGGCTGCATGTTCGTCGAAGGATGTGCAACAGACATCCGGGAAGGTTGAAGAACAGCAAAAGGCTCCTTCGTCATCAACAGTTATGGACATGAACACGTTATTGGCTGCCATGTCACAGATGATGCAAGTACAGGATACACGCATGTCAGAGATGTCATCACAGCTGTCATCACAGATTTCCTCGCAGCTGGAAGCACAGAAAACGTACATGTCATCGCAGCTAGATGAAAAGATTACTCAGCTACAAGAGAATTTATTTAAAGATAACGCGGAACTCAGAGAGAGACAGGATAAAATCGAGGAACGACAAGATAAAATCGAAGAGCTAATTCAGGAGAAAGTCGAGGCTAAGGTAGAAGAGTTGGAAGGTCGCCTCCGAGATATGCAGTTGAATCGCCCACCTTCTTCGACCAGCGCGCCCAAGGTAAAGACTCCATCCTTTGACGGCACGATTCCTTTCCAAGTCTTTAAGCTCCAGTTTGAGAAGACAGCTACAGCAAATCACTGGAGCATGGAGGATAAATCCGCTGCACTGTTCGTTGCATTAAAAGGACCTGCAGCGGAAATCTTGCAGACTATTCCTGATTGTGAAAGGAACAGTTACGATGCGTTAATGGGTGCAGTGGAAAGACGTTATGGTAGCGAACACAGGAGACAGATTTACCAGATGGAGCTGGAAAATCGCTGCCAGAAATCCAACGAGACTCTACAGGAATTCGCCTCCGAGGTTGAAAGGTTGGCTCATTTGGCAATTGGAGATGCATCTGGTGAGCACCTCGAAAGAGTAAAAATCCAGAGGTTCATCAACGGAATGCGGGACGTGTATACCAAGCGCGAGACGTATGCAAATCCAAAGCCAACATTTGCTGAAACGGTCTCGTATGCTCAGACACGTGAAACGGCAGCGCTCCTAAGTAGACCAGCCTACAAAGCCCATCGAGTAGAAGTGGAAACACCTGACGTGATGAACGAGATCCTGAAAACACTCAAGTCGATGGCAGGGAAGAATACTCCTGGTGCAACCGAGAGGAAGGATGGTGCTAGAAAATGTTTTAGTTGCGGAAAACCAGGCCACTTCGCACGCGAATGTAAGACGGGTTCCAACAGGTCAAACAGTTCAGCAGTACGTAAACGCAGGACTGAGGATGACGAGCCCAACTCCGACCAGTCGTTAAACTAAAACGAGCCAGCAGCAAGGGGCGCACGCTGGCTCCCGCAATTGAATGCCCCATAATCTCCGTCTCGCGAATTGGCAGAAAAGCGAGCAACGTTACTGTTGGTGGATATGTGGACGGACATGAGCGAGTACTAACTGTGGATACGGGCGCATCACATTCCATCATTCGATCTGATTTGGTCACTAAAGAGGTAAGGCCATTACCTGGAGCAAGGTTGAGGACAGCAACTGGTGAGGACACCCAAGTTGTAGGAGAGGTAACATGCAAAGTCGCAATAGGGAATGTGACGGTGTTACACAAGTTCATAGTCGCGGCGATTATGGATGAAGTCATCATTGGATTAGACTTTTTATTTGGTCAAGGTATGAAGATCGACATGAAGAACAGGATCATGACGTACGACAACATGGAAGTGCCCCTTAGGTTTGGGTATGATGGTCCGTACAGCAGCAAGCGAGTGATCCTAGAGGAAAGCGAGCAGATTCCACCGAAGTCAGAAGCAGTTGTGTGGGCAAAGATTGATGGAGATTGTGGGACAAACAAATTGTGGGTTGTTGAAGCGACACAAAATTCTACACCGGACGTACTTATTGGTAAAACCTTGGCTAAGACGCAAAAGGATGGACGCATCCCAGTTCGAGTGCTCAATGAGTTCAAGTCACCAGTCAAACTCCGAAGAGGAACTGTACTGGGGCAATGTCGAGAGGTAGAGGCAATCTTCAACTGCGAAAAGTTACCTGAAAGCGATTCCATTGGCGAGAATGACATTGCGGAAGACATTAATGCATGGACGGAAGGGTTGGAAGAAAAATACCAGCACAAGGCTAAGGAACTTCTCCGAAGATACTGCAACATATTCGACAAGGATGGCGACAAACCAGGCAGGACTAACGTTGTGAAACATCGCATTGATACTGGCGATGCAAGGCCAATCCGTCAAGCTCCTCGGCGTGTTCCACTTGCCAAACGTGAAACTGTTAGCCAAATAATAAAAGAAATGAGCGAGAGTGGTGTGATTGAACCATCAGCGAGTCCATGGAGTTCGCCGGTAGTACTTGTGAAGAAGAAGGATGGTCAAATGCGGTTCTGCGTAGACTACCGGAAACTAAACGATGTGACGAAAAAGGACAGCTATCCTCTTCCCAGGATCGATGACACTCTGGACTCGTTGACTGGAACAAAGTGGTTCTCAACACTCGACCTTAAGAGCGGTTATTGGCAAGTGGAGGTAAGTGACGAGGATAAGGAGAAGACAGCTTTCAGCGTTGGAGACGGTCTGTGGCAATTCACGGTGATGCCCTTTGGATTATGCAACGCTCCTGCCACTTTTGAACGACTTATGGACCATGTGCTCAAAGGACTGCATTGGAAAACATGTTTGGTGTATCTAGACGACATTATCGTATTGGGTAAAAGCTTTGAGGAACACCTGAACAATTTGGAAGAAGTTTTCCAGAGGATAGCTGGCGCTGGTCTGAAGCTAAGTCCTAAAAAGTGCTCACTGTTCAGGAAGGAGGTGAACTACTTAGGGCACAAGGTGACAACGGAGGGCATCTGTACTGCGAAGGAAAAGATAGAAGCAGTAAAGGATTGGCCAAGACCTAGGAACCTGCACGAACTACGAAGTTTTCTTGGGCTATGCACCTACTACCGCCGATTTGTTCCGAATTTCGCCAGCGTTGCTAATAGCCTCCACGAGCTCACTAGGAAAAATAGAGCCTTCGAGTGGAACAAGGAGCAGGAGGAGGCTTTCCAGACTCTGAAGGAACGACTATGTA